GCTCAAGTGAATCATCTGCTGAAAAAAAATGCTAGCGCTAATGCAACCTGTACTAATTGTCAGACGTGCTGTCGGCTTGGAGCGGACCATGTGTCAGTAACTGCGATCACAGTTGAGCATGCTATTTTTAACTATACCATTGGCAAAACTACATGGAGCTTGGGATGTCCCTCGCAGCGATTCGTCTGTGGATCGACGAAAAGGTGAAAATTCATGAGGAAATCATATCAGTCGCCCAAAAACTATGCCCGTGATAAATGAACCCCTGTTCAACAAGACCGGCATGACTGTGTGTTCGACGATCCATGTACGTGCATCACATGCTAGGATGCAGAATAAAAAGGCTTGTTTTGAAGTGCATCGTTGTTGTGTTGTACAGAGGTTTGAACACATTTTTGAGCGCAGAGATTTCCGTCAGTGGATCGACGAAAAGCTGAAAATTCATAAAGAAACCATGACATTCACCCGGAAACTGTAGCCGTGATAAATGAGCCCTCAGTCAAACGAGACGCGCATGATTCGGTATTCAACGATTGTGTACATTCACCACATGCTAAGATGCAAAAGGCAAATACTTGTTGTTTGTGTTGCTGCGTTTTTGACATCCATAATGCGCAAATTTCCATGCAAGTTCGCAACCGAACGCTTTGTACCTGTTGCTTAAAGCGTGACCGAAATGATGGTCAAATGATAGGTTATATGGGATCGGTGATCATTTCCATGTCTCAGTTGTTTCCTCTTTGCTTGATTCATCAGTTGCCGTTTTTTTCTGCAAAATGTGCATGGGTTTTGGAGTGGCTCAAGGGTTTGTATGTGCGTTGGTGGGTGGAAGGCAAAACCAATCTTGGGGTCGATTGTTTTTATGCGTTGCCATTACACTAATGCTGAACATTCTGAGGGAGCTGAAGTGGCATTGCACCCACGGAGCCCACACCCGTTCCTACACCCATGAAAACTATGTGCCGCCTGCCCTTGAAACAAACAGTGCTTGTGAAATTGTGCAATCAATGCTTGAAAACATGTTGCATGGGTATTAAATAAGCGGTTCCTTCCCGCATGACTTTTTTTTAGCCGGGCTGCGGAACATATTGCTTTACAGCACTGCTTAAACAATTGGTTTTGGAAAATAAATCGCCATGGACTCGATGCACGGGCGCACTTACAACGTTCAGAGATACATTTTGCTTCTGAAAATAGCTCTTCTTTCTCGAGGTACACTTTGAGAGCTTTACGACCCTACGCGTTTTAAAAGAATTGGTGACCCACACCCTACACCGGCAGAGGTAGTAGCTAGTACTATTTCGCAGGCAGTCCACAACATGCAAGGCTATTGTGACTCCATTGTCACAAAAATGCAAGCATGGAATCAATGGAAGCATGCAGGACAGATTTGATGGACTTGGATACGCTCGAAGCTCATGTAAAAATGCACATTGCATACAATGGACGGCTTACTTTATTCAATGAAAGAAACCAACGCAGTACCGCATTGATCATTAATGTCGGCGGCCTAATCTTGACAAAAAAACTGAAATGAAATTGGTGGACGTTTGAAATAAATGTGAAATCTGTTAATCGAGAAATTCACATCTCGACTACCGAGCAACCTACGCCTTCGATATAAAATTGATTTGCGTGACAAAATCTCAATCCAATCACTGGTGTTCACACACGATGTAACTCTCACGGTATGTGGAGACCTGCCAGATCTGGGCATGAGTAATGTACCCATAAACCAAATCTTTACACCATCTCGAAATATTTGTTGTATTAGTGCACGCTGTCAGGATTTCGACATTTTTCTGGGGCTAAGCCCGAATCAAGCCTTAATCAGTTGTAACATGGAGTTTCAAGGCCCAACTCTACTAGTTAGGCCTGTTTTGGTTGTGTGCCCACAAACAAGGTCCAACACACATGTCCCCGCAAAACAAAATAATGTGAATAGGTGTGTGTGTGTGTGTGTGTGTGTGTGTGTGTGTGTGTGTGTGTGTGTGTGTGTGTGTGTGTGCGTGTGCGTGTGCGTGTGCGTGTGCGTGTGCGTGTGCGTGTGTGTGTGTGTGTGTGTGTGTGTGTGTGTGTGTGTGTGTGTGTGCGTGCGTGCGTGCGTGCGTGGGTGGGTGTGCACTTCACACTACTGTCGGAATGCTTTTGGCTGGCACATTAACATGGTTGTCGGCCGAATGCATTCACTTTGCCATATGACGAGTTAACGGCGCATTACTGAATGAGCTGGGTCCATCCGGAGCCCACTGGCAAACCTACGACAGCGTTTCGAAAACCTTTAATGACGTGCAGTGGGTGCGATGGCATTAATTTTATGGCACTGCGGTAGGGCTGTTGCCTGGCACCGCAACAATGCCGTCAGTCGACGCACCAAAGTTATTGATATGACTCCCAGACTGCACATTGCTCAATGCTGGCGAGCCGGTCAAAGCGTGCATTTGCAAAACCACGGCATTCATTTAAACTTTGGTCACCACTTCACCTTCCTCTATAGCGGTCCAGACCGTCCAATGATACCTGTTTGCGCAGCTCGACATCTTTAAAAGAGATCCGTATGTATAAACAATTTTTTCCGAACTCTTTTGTCACATGCAAAGCTGAAGTAGTGATAAATCGAGAACAGACCCCACAAGCGGCACACCTCACTTGACGTTTCGTAATTGTAAGATTGTTCGGTCATTTAAGATCATTAAGATCATCTGGACCAGTTCCTTTCATTTGGCGTACCCTCTGTGACGGAAAAGAAGCAAAGAAGGTCAGTGATATCAAGCCAGAATCTAGCCCAGCGCAATGCAACTGCAAAAGAAGCAAACAAGGTCGATGATATCAAGCGAGAATGTAGCCCAGCACAATGCAGCAGTTATGAGGGGCTTTGTCGAGGTACATATGGACAAGTTGTGAGAATATTTAATGCCAAAATGGTCACCTCATGACGTAACTGTTCAATGAACATTAACTGGGGGATGCATCGGGCGCCACCCACCAAAGTAATGTGGGCGAGTCAGACCACGGCGCCACCTATCACATGTAGGGGGCGCTGGTGGGCTAGCACTACTTGCGGGAGATCGTTTAACCGCATTGCCATAATATGGTAACGCGATGCAGAATCACAGCATTAAACACGGCCCGCAGCAGAGTTGGCTGGCGACCATTCGCAGCGTGTTAACCGTTATCACTGCTATCAGAAAGGAAACTGTGTTTCGGGAGGGGCATTGCTCTCTACGTCCTCTTTCTGTCGAGCGTTCCTGTGGACACAGACTTCTCCCCCACCTCGTCCCCTTGTAGCACCCTTCGTAGTTCTTGTATCCTGCAACCCAACGCGTTTGTCTCCTTCAGCCAGGTGACGGCCTTTCAGGCTTGTGTTCCAGAGCAGGAACTACAAGACGCTGCTAGCTGGGGTCGCGGCCGAGATGCATTCTGTCAGGCTTAGAGTTGTAGCGCTTCACCTTCGTGATCGGCATTCTTCTTCCCACTATTGTCCATTAAAAATAGACATGAAAGGGTTGTCTATGTTCGGCTACAAGCTACCCCCACTCGATCGTGTTGTGATGCTACGCAGAGTCGCGACCCTGGTCGTGGTCGGACCTCGTCTGAACCTCGTCTCTCGCTAGTCTGGGCCTCCTCTCTGACGTTACGCGTACGCAGTATGCGTCGGGCGTTCAACCGGGAGGGGCGCTTAACGCCTTCTACGGGGTGCATTCGCTAGTGCACCGTGATTGCTGAAGGCAGAAACGTCTTATGCCACAGTGAATGACGCAACCAACTACGAAGGAACAAACACCCACACCCAGCGAATAATAAGCACAGAAAAAGATACGCGGCCTTAAGAATTAATGACGAAGCAAGTCGCTGCAGCAAGTACGACGAAGTAAACAAGTCGTTGCAGCACACAAACATTCCAGCGTTTTTCGTTAGCGTCCCTGGTTACACTACACGTTACAACACGCTACAGGGTCCACAGCAGGAACTACGAGACGCTGCTGACCGAGGTAGAGGCAGGAGCTGAGCGAACACCATAAATGAGCTGTGGTTAAACTGAACTTATGGCAACTTTCGAGATAGCCCCGTGTTAACGGAACAAAGGCGGATGCACTGGCCGGTAAGTACCAGATCTGTCAGCATCTTAAGAGTGATATAATTAGTAAAACTTTTGAATACATGCTATATTAAAGCAGCTCATATGCATGAGGTGCTTTGGAATGTAGTAAGAGCACTTAGGGGTATGCTTTTTCAAACCGACACTGAAGCTGCTAGGTGCGCTTAAATGCACCCCGGAAGGCGGCGTCCCAAAAAGACCTTGGCTGTTAGGAAATGCGATACTGCCAAACTGTCCCTCACGCGCTAGCAGGGCTTTCTGCTTTATGTCATAAGATGAGTATTTTCGTCCCTGGCACACTGGTTCATATTGGCACTTACCCCAACATAATGCGATCGAATACCACATTACACAGTACTTGTATTTGTTTTCGTGTGGTTTGTCATGTTTAAGTGGTCCAGCTGATCTGGACTGCTACTATCGCTTCGCGATTACCCTACCCGGCGAAACCCATCTGGGTGAACATGATGCGGTGGGCTCGTGATGTTGTTCCGAATTCCTCAGGTGGGTGCAAAAATCTTCAGAACAGAGCAACGGAGCCGGGGTCGCGCCGCACCTTCAGCACCGGGTTTGCGAAACCTGACCACGCATTGTTAACGAACCGGCTTCTGGGCAACAGCTGATGTCAAACATGCCAACTTAAGCTGGTGAACATCGGGGTAAGCGTCTTTCCCAGGTATGCAGCGTCACTCAGACCACTGGTCGGGCTGCCGGAACGCCACCTGGCGTTCCGGGGCGGCGAGTACACTGTGCTGGCGTGGGCCCCGCTGGCCGCTCCGCAGAACTGGCGGAAGCCGGGCGTCCCTCGCCGGCGGCCATGTTTGCTGTGCCAACACCGGCGTCGTATAAAGCCGGCTCGGGGTGCCAAGGGCCGGCAGAAGCAGCTCTGCACCGCCTCAAGATGCGTACGTTCCTGCTGACCTGTCTGCCGCTGCTGGCTGCCGCTGCCACCAGGCGGCCCCTGCTGGGCGCCAACCAGCCCTGCTGGGACAAGACGAAGGAGCTGGACGCGCTCGCCGCCAACAACGGCGGCGTGCTGCCGCCGGGAGGCGAGCGTCCGACCTGCGACCGGCTGGGCCGCTTCTCACCCAAGCAGTGCTCCGGCTCGCAGTGCTACTGCGTCGACCCGCAGGGCGAGCAGCTGGAGTACACCCAGAACAGGTGGGAGGCGGACATCATGCAGTGCCGCTGCGCCCGGGAGGAGCACGAGATTGCCGAGGCTGGCCAGCTGGGCAGCTCAGTCAAGTGCGACGTCCAGGGCAACTACCACCACACCCAGTGCCGGGGCTCGTCCTGCTACTGCGTCCATCCGGCGACCGGCGAGGCTCGGGAGGGCACTGAGGCGCATGTGGGCGAGTTCTCCGCGCTCGAAGAGAAATGTAGCAGCCTGTAGGTGTAGATGAAGCGCAGTCTGCTGACGTCATCGCCGGCTGCTGAAGTCTCCGTCGGCTGTTGACGTCGTTGTCAACTGCTGACAATACCGCCGGCTGCTGACGTCACCACCAGCGGCTGACGTCACCGCCGGGTGCTGAAGTCTCCGCCGGTTGTTGATGTCATTGTCAGCTGCTGACAATACCGCCGGCTGCTGACGTCACCACCAGCTGCTGACGTCATCGTTGGAGAATGGTCCAGCCTCTGGGGCCTGTCGTTGTCGGCTTGCCAGCCTACCCGCCTCACCTGACGTGCTCCCTTACCAGTGTGACTCCTGTCTGCTAAATCCCAGCCGTCCACATGGCCTATGTTAAATGCCTCATTACCATGCCCAAGACTCATTGCGAACTTCTTTGATGTATATGTATCTGAGCGACGGAAACAATACAGTTAATGGTGTTGCTTAAAGCAGTGTCGATCCTGGAATCTGATAAATGAGAAGTAGATGCATGGTCCATGGATCCGGTCATCATTATCAGTCCCGAAACAAAGTTGAATGCGTTTCTGATCACACGCCCTCAATATGGCTAGCGGCTATGGTAATATGGCCATGACAGTTTCAGTATGGGAAACGAGTAATTGTGAGGTAGCTATCTCCAAGCACTATCTCCAAAACAGTGTGCACTGGTAGTTCTGTACGACTGTCGCCACCTCCGGCCATTTGACACACTGGCGAAGCCAGGATTTCAACCAGGAAAGGCCGAATTTGGTCATAGGCAGTCCTTTCAGATAAGGGGTCCTCTCTCCGTCGCCGTGAGCCCAGTTTCTAATTTGGAGTGCCTTGTTGGGTTCTGGATCCTACTTTTTAAAACCGCCAAAAAGAGCTGGCACCTGCGACCCAGGGCCTCCTTACCTCCGGGCTGGCGAGGGGAGCATGACCCTAAAAGTTCCCCAGTGGCTAAGCACCTGATTGAATAAGGAAGCACACTTCACAGGGTGAGTAACGCTTGGCTCCAGAACATCCAGTGCAACGAGTTCGCTTCCCAAATCACGGCTAGCAAAAGATGCATTGGTACGATTTTACGACTTCACTGAACTGCGGAGGCGCTGCAGAAAGCCTCAAGTCACCTTTCTGAACATTTTGTGGTAATCGATGCACTCTGACAAAAATATCGCGAGAGGCGCTACGCAATCTTTTGTAACCAAAGCAAATTCAGGCCGCATTCTTCAGGAAGCTCATTAAACTCGTAATAGGTCCGAAAATGAACCCCAACTGGATTGTCCTAATGAAGCCCGCAGAGCCCCTCGGCATCTAGGGGAGGATGCGGGAGCATGCCCCCCGTGTCCCCCCCCCCCCACTTCACCTTTCTGCTACTAGTGACTGATGACACATGCATAAAAATCTGCTAGCGCTCACTCTGAACATCTATTCCTCATCCCGTAAATCATTTCATTTTCAAGGAAGCATGCATCGACACGAGGAAGTGGCGGTCGTGTGTCGGAATTGACACAAAGACTGCGCCTCTGTTACCAACAGGCGGGTGAGAGTCTTCCTGGATTCCAAAACCAGCGCTTCCCTCGATCTTGCTGACCTCAAATGAGCAGCCTATACCTGATTAAGTTTTGCCTGGATGTGCTTGATTCAAACGTCCGAACTTTGATCTGCGTGGGCGTGGCTCCTTTTATGCCACAGCGCGTCGTGAATTTAACTTGAAACACCGAGGACACGAATCTTCGGGACACCGAGACCGACATTACCGACTGCAGGCTACTGGAGGCAACTGTCGAAAACGGCGCGCACAATTAAACAAACAAATTAGGAACAATTGGGAACAATCTTGCTTTTAGGAACAAAAAGAAACAATTAGGAACGCTGGGGACAGGCTGCTTACTTATTGAAACGTATCGTTCTTGTCCGCATGAAGCACGGCAGTGCTAAGAATCGATGATTGCCTGTTTGCCCTTGCCACGATGGCAGATGCATTATGCATGTTTCGGTCTCTCGCTAGTTATCGTAAAAGGCGTTCAGAAGCGTACTGGTGCTGAGCCGGGAGACAGCATTATGACGCGGTCGCCGCATACCCAGCACGTACGTGCCTTTTGTACCACAGGGTGGGGGATCATGGTCAGGTGGTCCCTTTTCATGCCTTACGTGCGCGTAAGTGCTCAGAAAAAAACGTGAAGGCACGAATACGACCTTAACATTATTCCGCAAAACGTACTGTTTGAGCATCCACAGCTACGCATCATGCATATGTCATATTATGTGTGACTCTTCATGAAGCATTTTCTGCTTTATATTATAGCTGTTAATGAGAAGCTTTTCATAGCACTCTATTGGAGAAAACTTGGATCACATTTGGTGCACCGAAGATAAGATGTCATGTTGACAAGACAGTAGTAAAAGCCTCATTCCTAGGAGAAAAACCAGGAAAATGAAATTATAGTACCAACTACATCTCCATTCTCCTGATCTTTCTCCGGGGAATAAGGCTAATACTACTGCCTTATCTATGAAAATATTGTTCCTTGCTAAGGCTCTGAACAACTTACGTAAGATACCATGTTGTTAAAAATCAGTTAGCTCTGTGCCGGCAAGGATGGCTGAGGCCATAAACGCTCGCATCAGCTGGCTCGCGCGCCATTCGTCGCTCGCATCAGCTGGCTCGCTTGCTATTCGTTGATTGTATCAGCTCGCTCGGTTGCTATTCGTTCGCTCATCATTGATCGTCTCAGTGGCCTAATGAACGTGGTTAAGCCTCCCTTTCAACGCAAGTTTGTTGAAATTTGGTTGCATGGCGCCGAGCTATTTTCTGAATGTCGAAACACTCGCGTGCTTTGGCGCGA